TCACTGCCTCTGCCTGGTCTGTCTACACCAGAAGATCCTGTTTGTTATGCTGTAGTTGGGGGCAGGGGTGTGTGGAATAAAGACTTAAATGAGAAATTTGGCAGCTGCAGAAAGCTTTTTTTCTTTTTCTTTTTTTCCCTCTCTCTGTAAGGCAGCAGAAATAGAATTGAAGTGACCTGAATGTTTAGCGGAAGGAGAGGAAGTCTCTGATTCAGGGCCTAGCCAGGCGGGAGGCAGTTCTGCAGTGGATGTGTGTGGTTGAGAGATGTCCCTGGCACATTCAAGTGGTCTCCACACTGCTACTGTGCAAGCATCAGGCAATTTATAGGAACAAATTATGGATAAAAGACATGCAAAGCAGTTCAATTCTGTTAAGTATGTCTGCTGGTCTAAAAGCTGCGTATTGGAACAGTGTTCATATTGTCGTGTTCCTCTTGATAAGCGATGCTTCTGCTGATGCTGGTGGTGTGAGCAAAGGTAACTGCCTGCCACACAGGGCACCACAGGTAGAATTTCTTACTGTAAGAAATGTAACAATCTCTTCATTTAGGTTTAAGAGTTTAAGCCAATGCACGCAGGTGCCTTTGAGGACCAGTGGTGAGGTGGAAGGGAGCACTGCGATGCAGATGGGCACTGCTGACCAGTTTAGTCAGTTTAAGTTCCTGCTCAGAAATGCAGCTTTTGAGAAGTTGTTGATGGTAACACAGGAGTCCTGTGCTCAACTCCCTCTCCGTAACAAGTAGCCAAGTAGACGAGCTTTGATCTCTGACTGGACAAGGCTAAATAAAAACTGGCGTCCTTCTGCCTTACTGAAGGCAGAGTTCACCTCGGTCTTTAAGTTCTGCTTCTGCCTAGCGTGTAAAAAAACGTCTCCCTTGTGTATGGATGGCCTAGAAATGAGTAATGAGGTGCCCTGAGGTACGGGAATTTGTGACCTGAATTCACCCTAGTATTGAGCAGCCTTGGTGCAGTGATCAAATGCCTGTATTAAAGGGAAGAGGAGTGGTGCAGAAGCACTATTTTATGGACTCTAAACGTTATGAGAGACCCCAAAAGACCTGTGCTAGCAGCAGCTTTAGGGGTTTCCTTTAAGGGCAGAACCACAGGGAGTCTAAACACTTAGATATTCCTGTCTAAGCTACTGACTGAGAATGTGGAGCACCAACAGCTGTGAAATAGGCAGGATGCAGATGTCTGTGCAGTGATTTGGACACTCCTTCCTTATGTTGTGAGCAGCCATCTTGTCCTTATCTTGTGTGTTTCGGTGCTGGGATTCTTGCTGTGGAGATGAATCTGTCTCTTTGTTGGAGAGTAACACCACTAACACTGAAACCCTTCTCTAGCCCCAGGTGGTACCCTGGCAGATGACATGATGCGCACAGATGTCTGTGTATTTGCAGCACAGGAAGACCTGGAAACCATGCAAGCATTTGCTCAGGTTAGTTCTGAGACAGGTACAGTTGAACCTCTGCTTAGCAGTCAAGAAAGGAAATGTTTGCATAGCTGGATGTTTAGGTAAAATCCCACTTTACAGCATGGCTTTAGGATGCCTCCTAAAGATGACTTTAGGTGTGGGACACTTAGCTAAAAGAACTCTGAAAGAGTTCACACCAGCTTTACTAAACTTGATTTCTGTACTTCAGAACAAAACATCATGCGCTCAATCTCTTCCCAGGTTTTTAACAAGCTCATCAGGCGTTACAAGTACCTAGAGAAAGGCTTTGAAGATGAAGTCAAAAAGGTATGAAGTTGGCTTATCTCTTCTGATAAAAACCTTCAAATTCTACCAGTTAATCTCTATCCAGAAGAGATAGGATGTTAAATAGATTATTCAAACAAGGCAGAAAATGCTTTAAACTTCCCAATTGAAGAGCTATTCTGTGTGACTCGTGGAAAAGACTGGCAGGGTACCAGTGCTGCTGCTGCAGCAGCTTGACTGAAACAAAAGCGAGTATCTAGGATGGAGACAGTAGTCAGAGTAGCTGATGTCCATGAAAGATGGCTGTTTCATGGCAGTTTTCACTTCCTCTTGTAGCTGCTGCTGTTCCTGAAAGGTTTCTCAGAGTCTGAGCGGAACAAACTGGCCATCGTGTGTGGTGAGAGGCTTTCTCCTGAATTGGCAAAGATGACTGTGAAGTGAGTTACCTGCGGGTCTCGGTGAGACTTCGGGAGAACAGCAGATCCGCATGACGCTTGGGGCTGCAGTTGCCCGTGCAACCAAGCAGGATCCTGGTGCAGTTTCACTTGGGGCCTTCCCGAGTGGAGAAGGTGGTCCCTGCCCCTGGACTGCTTCCCAGACTGCAGCAGGGAGATGCAGGGTTCGGCACAGGAAGCCTTCCTGGTGCCCAGCGGCAAGGAGGGTCTGCATGGCCGTGCACCAGCACTTGCCTGGGACACTGGCCCACAGCCACCCTGCTCTGGGAGCAGGGTGACAAACTAGGTGCTGGGTGTTATGGGGCCTTGTGATTCGCTTTGTGGGGCACTTCGGTAACGACACTGCTCTTGTTGCACAGGTGTCTCTGCAGCTTTTGCAGTCAAGCTGTTCAAATCGTGGATAAATGAGAAAGACATCAACGCAGTGGCTGTCAGTCTTCGTAAAGTGAACATGGATAACAGGCTGATGGTGAGTTGCACTGAAATTACCAATTTGATTCTTAAGCCAGCTTGGTAAATTGACCAACATGTAAATTTACTCAGCACATGTTTCTGTGGTGAAAAAATTGCTGCAAACTTTGCTTTCAGGAACTCTTCCCAGCCAACAAGCAAAGTGTTGAACACTTCTCCAAGTACTTCACTGAAGCAGGACTGAAAGAACTTTCCGAGTATGTTCGGAACCAGCAAAGCATAGGTGCTCGGAAGGAGCTGCAGAAAGAACTTCAGGAGCAGATGTCACGGGGAGATCCATTTAAGGATGTAAGTGTGTCTGTCTGTAGCAAAACTGTTTGGACAACACTTTTTAAAAAAATCTTCCTTTGAAGAGGATTTATGCCTAGATAGATACTGAACACCACAGGTCCCTTAAGGGATTAGAAGGACAAGTGTGTTTTGGTGTTAGCTTCATAGGCTTTCCTTACTGTCCTGCATCCTGGTGCATAGCCAAGGAGTCTGTGGTTCTGAAGGCTTCTGGTTTGCCTTAAATTTGGAGAAGTTGAAGAAGTTGAGTACTGTGTGACTTGAGCAGCATTATTTCTGTGCAGCTCAACTTGTGTCTTTAATGAGTGTTGGGAACAAAAGCTTGATTTGCGTTACTGCCATATATGGCTATGTGCTGACTCTTTCTTTCTTCGTCTGACTGGCAGATAATCTTGTACGTGAAGGAGGAGATGAAGAAGAACAACATCTCAGAACAGACTGTCATAGCCATAATCTGGTCAAGCGTAATGAGCACTGTGGAATGGAACAAAAAGGAGGAGCTGGTAGCAGAGCAAGCCATCAAGCACTTGAAGGTACCGTACCTAGGCATGGGCTCCAGCCACTGCTGCGTGGGGCTTGCGCCTTCCCGCTGTCCCTGTGAGCTGCTGTACACAGGAGCTCATGTGGGCACACAGCACAGAGGACTTTGTGGTGTGCTGTAGTGCCTTGAGCACTCTAGTCGCTGGTAGACTAGAGCTACACTGAGGCAAACGCATCAGCGTGACTGGGCTGCCGAGCCTCCCTAGGGTGTGGGTTGCAACTCTGTAAGCAAGTGGCTGGTACAAACTGCTGGCAGCGGAGTCGGGTGGGAGAGAAAGCGGGGTGTGTGCGGCTGTGAGTGCCAAGTTGCCATTCCTGTTACAGCAATACAGCCCTCTACTTGCTGCCTTTACTACCCAAGGTCAGTCAGAGCTGACTCTTCTACTGAAGATTCAGGAGTACTGTTATGACAACATCCACTTCATGAAGGCCTTCCAGAAAATAGTGGTGCTCTTCTACAAAGGTAACTCCCTCGGCGTGGGCTTGTTTGGGTTTTTTTAAGCCTCAACAAACAGGCTTGTTTTGAGCCTCAGAAGCTAGAGGCTGAGACCCACTATGGTGTTGGGACAGTTCAGGCTGTTCAAAATACTTCTGGTTACTCTAAACATGTTTGTGCATCTGTAGCTACACAAGAACATTAGAAACATGCTATTAAATTGAAATTATGTGTAAATACATATGGGGAGGAGCAAAGGCTGCCAGGAAGGGATGATTTTAGCAGCTGGTATTCAATTGATTGCTGACTTAACATTGCTTTTACACATTTCAATCAGCTGAAGTTCTGAGTGAAGAACCCATCCTCAAGTGGTATAAAGATGCCCATCTTGCAAAAGGCAAGAGTGTTTTTCTGGAGCAAATGAAAAAATTTGTGGAATGGCTCAAGAATGCTGAAGAAGGTAGGGGAGCTGCCAGGTTGGGGCTGAAACACGGTATGGGGCGGTTGGTTACCTGAGGACCTCTCTGACCCGTGACAACCTCCCTTTCTTGCAGAGTCTGAGTCCGATGCTGAAGAGGGCGATTGACCTGGAAATTCTGTCCTCAGTAAAACAAACAGGAGCTGTAGATAAGTGTCAAGTCTCACATGTCCTTCTGATTCTTACATCCTACCTCCCTGTATCAAGCATGATATAAGGGCTTTCATGGCAAATTTATTTTAACTGTTTTCTATAGTCACGGAAATACTGGGTTTAGTTTTTAAAACCATGTTTTAAGTAGCTTACAGGAGCTATAGATTTGATTCTAACCTACATTAGTCCTTTCAGTTATTCTACCTCCTGTATTTTCTACTGTAATGATGTAATTTAAGGCCTTCCAGAATGAAATCCGTGTTACCCCTTGAGTTTTCTATCTCCATATGAGTAGTAGACATGCTTCGGTAAATGAGATTTATGGCAGTTCTGTTCGCAAATTAAAATGTTAAGTCTCCAAAGTGAAGAGGCCATGGCTTTTGTGGTAACTTAGTGTGACACTTTAATCCCATTCTGCTTGCTCCGAGTAACCCCATTCATAGATGTGGTTGTCCACCCCCCCCCCACCAGCCTCTCTTGTCATCTCTGCCCACGCTTCCAGCAGGAAGTAATCCTGGTGCAGCGCAGCTGCCCTGTGGGGAGCCAGCATCTGCTGTGGCCATGGCCCCACGGCGGGGCATGAGGAGGTGCTGAGCCACCACTGCCGGGGGGGCCTGTGTTCCTGGGGGCTTCAACAGAGCTGTGAGGCCCCCGCAGCAGGGGCGGTACTGCAGGGTCCTGGTGCTTCAGCCGCCCTTGCCGCTTGTGCGCCAGCAGGTACAGCCAGCCTCGCAGTGCGACAGCCCTCACCTGCACCCCAAGCAGCACCGGGTGTCCCAGGTGGGTGGCTCCTGCTGTTCTCCCCTTGCACAAGCCAAAGTTGGCTCTGGCAGTAGGTGGGTGGCTGCTGCAAGGGAAGTGGGACAAAATGCTACAGCCACAGGGCACTGACAACTGTGATTATGGTGGTAGTTGGTCTGGTAATTAGCTACTCAACAAAATTTTGTCTGAATTCTTACTAGCAATTCTCAGGACAGCTCCTGATTAAAGACAGCTTGAGGGAAGTTTGGGTCAACAGTGCTGTGAGCTAACAATGAGCATTAATGGAAACACTCATGACCAGTGCACTTCTAAACAGGCAAAACCTTGGTGACCACAATGCAATCTATTCAATACTACCGTGATCTTCCTTCCTTTGTATTTTTTAAACAAATAAAGGCCATCCTTACACTCAAACGTGTTCTGGGGTTGTCTTTCATTCAATTTAAAGCTTCTGTCAATTGAGGGATTGAAGAGGCACTCTAATGATTTTGCCCCTTCAATTTTATATCATTTCACTGACCTAGTTAATTAACATACATCCCTCATAACAGTACTTTTCCACCAGGACTACACTCTGTGGTAGAGGAGGCAGAGTCTGCACTTACCCTGCTACAGTAGGCTGACATTTTATTTAAGTAAAAACAGTTATCAGTATATCATTATCTTTTTCTTAAATAGAAAGTTTTATTTCAGCATCTGGAACAATAAATTTAAGTATCCAAACAGGGTCATAATACAAAATAGGTATTTATAAAGCTACCTTTACACAATAAATAACTTTTAAAACTTTATTATGCTTCCGTTGTTGACTGACAGTCCGTAACACCTTGCTCAGCTGTAAGATGGAGCTTACTTGTTTTCTTGCTTCAATGGTAAAAAGAAAGGATGTTTCAGAGCCTCTTCAAGGGTAATGCGCTTGGTTGGGTCGTATTCCAGCATCTTTTGAATGAGGTCGAAGAGGTTCTCATGGTCAGAATCTTGGCAAGTCATAAACTCCTTTTTAGGGAAACCCACAGTCTATTACTTTCACTTCCAGCATTAGTGTCACAGCTCTCCCCACAGGGTGTTTTCCCCTCTCTTACCTTCAGTGGCTTACAGCGCCTCGACACGTATCTGCCAGCTGAGCTGTGTTCATCCCAATCCAGGTGGTCATGATGGAAGTATTTGCGTTTCCTTTAACAGAGCACACAGCTCATTATGTGCCCTAGAAGCAAAGCCTGCATGCGTAGTTCTTGGCAGCACGTTTAACACAACCCCAGGAACCAATACAAGACCACTTCACACAAAAAATGCCAATTTAATAAAGCAGAGATGAATCTGCATTTACTGAACTTGTTTGCCATCATTTAATTGCTATTAAATCGGAAACCACTCTAAATTTATAAGTTAGGCAATCTCGGTTCAGAAAAAAAAATGTACTTACCTTGTTTTTTGTATCATGTGATTTGGCAAAGGTCCCAATATTCGCTCCATCATTGCCAGATGTTCTTTGCTATCATGAGTCTAGAAGAAAATTTATAAAGTTGTAATTAACCACATAATTTTGGCCATCCCCCTTACAAACAATAGTATTTCCCATTTATTAAGACTATATTTAATACTGCATTTAACAGTATTTCTCTAATAACAAAAAAGGGGTCCATGGCCTTCTACTTCCCAAAATAAATTAATTTATATCAAGTTTGTCTGTTGCTGGGCATTGTTTTTTGTTAGTAAATTCCGATTTTCAGCACTATTGTCACCACGACACACACAGTATTTGATGGTGGTGGTGGCTGAGGCCACCTTTAATACCAGCAGTCCTGTACTGGGTGCTGACAATGAACTGCTGCTATATCACTGCTGAAAACAACTCTGTTCTCTGCCACTGGCTGCTGCAGAAAATACAAGATGATCTCCAGCACGCCCCAATCCTGCTCCCCATGGGAGCACGGTTTTCCCACATGCTGCA